CACGGTCGAGGCTCTGTATGCTTCTGTTGAGGCCCGAGAAATGTGTATTGAAATCAATTGCATCGAGGCTCCGTATGTTCTTTCATTAAGTGGCACCGTGGCACAAATATTTAAAAAATGTGCTGTCGAGTATAAACTTGCTTAGGTGATTCCGGTGATTGCTGGGTGCCTAATAAGTCTCTCTTTGAAACAAACAAAACGTGTTCGATCTGTAGAAAACTGACGATTCAGCACGTAAGAATTTTATTGAGTTAAAAGTTTATTGTAAAGATTCTCCTTGCTTTGGCAATGGATATTCAAAGAAAAGTAGAACAATTCATTAAATCGCGAGACCATGCAGCTTTGAAAGAACTTTTGGTGGACGAGCTGTCAAAGCTTCGCACAAGTATGCCTAGGCCTAGTTTAATTTGCCCAGAATTTGATCTGGTTAAAGATAATTGTGCGGAGGTCCTCTTACCTGACCATGTCAAGATCAAAAGTGGAGTATTTGCATTCCCTGCCAGGTAGCTTACCATTTATTAAAAATTTTGTTAAGGTTTATAACCCGTAGGTTTAGCCTTTAAACTCAAAGCCACAAGAGCATCCAAAACCTGTCTTCTTGCACTTAATTGTTGTATACATATGGAATAATGCAAGAAGCTATCTCTGTTGAAAATGTATAGGTTTTCATTCACTTGCTGATTGTTATCCTCAAAGATTGTTATCTCGACAGTAATCAAGAAACTAACCTTATCAGTCTGTGCTGTTTGTACTCTGGCTATTAGGTTTAATGTAGTCTACTGTCAGGAAACTTTGTAACCTCTGAAGTAATTATTTACATGTTAGTTAACATTATTACATCTTGATTATCTCAAAATTTTCTGAATGTTTTTATATGTTTTTGCACAAAATGAGAAATTTTTTCAACTGCAAAAGCTTTATTTCTTGAAAAATGAAACATTGAACCTGAAAACTATGATAACTTAAAAGGATCATATTTCCTAAAAAAGCCAAAGTCTCAAGTTTGTTTACATTTTTTTTAAAACTAGCTTATTTGCATAAACAGATGTTATAAAACCATATATATAACTTCTTCTATTGTTACGCAGAACAGTTAAACAACTTTCTTTGCAAAAAAAACAGTAAAGTTCAAAGCTGAATTTTATGTTTAGTTCATGAACTTTGACTGCTTTTCTACTTTGAATTTATGAGTAAATTTGAGCTTTTATTACCTCTGTCTGTGTTTTATTTGAGTCTTGTAATTTGGACATAATACATACAATGTATTCATCTGAAAGTGTTTTGAGTGTAATGTAAATATCCCTTCATGCAGAATCAGATCTGATGGGAACTGTCTGTACACTGCAACATCTGTGGCTTTGACTGGCAATGAAAAGCTGTCCTATATTTTGAGGGCTTTAACTTCTGCTGAGTTATACTTGCATTGCAATTTCTATGCATCAAATCAGCATTTTTTTCCCTTTTGGCACAAGGACAGAAATGCAGTCTCTTAAAGACAATGTTTTCTTCTTCTCTAACCTCAGTACCTTCTAATGTTGTTCACCACCAGCTAGAAGATTATGCTGAATTTGCTCGGCAGGTGGCACTTAATAATTGCCAGGATGAGAAATGGAGTCCATTTATTTGCGTGCTTGCTTTGTCAAGTGTATTAGGCATACCAATTAACTCTTATTTTCCAAACATTGCAAAAGGCACTGTTGCATATGATTTATGTAACACATATATTGAGCCAAGAGAGGATACTGACCCTGCTAAGACACCAATTGATCTCTTATGGTCATCAAATAATCCTGAAAATGATCTCCTTCAGCCATTTAAGCCAAGCCACATTGCTCCAGTTTTTTTCAAGAACAAAACATTTGTATCTGTACCATCAAAAATGAAGCAGTCAACAATTTCTTTTCAAGTAGTTTCTAGTAGGGTGGTTGGTAATAAAGAAGACTCAATTATTTCAATCAAGGAGCCTGAAGATCCTGTCAGTGCAGCTGATGATTCTCTTTCTGTTTTTGATAATAGTCTACAAGAGCAAACATCATCTCCTTCCAACCCTCTTCCTCTGTCTTCTCAAAACCAAACAATCAACATTCAAGCCTGCTATGAGGATATATCTAACTTCTATAAAACCTCTCAGGAGCTCTCTGTCGAAGAAAAATTTAACATCTTGGAAAACATCAAAAGACCAGATGCAACTTTTTCTTACCCTTTAAAAGGTTCCTACAGTGGGAAAAAACGCAGATTTAATCATTCCTGGTTTGCCAACTATCCTTGGTTGGTTTACTCAAAGGAACTGGATGGAGCATTTTGTTTAACTTGCGTTCTTTTTGGCCGTCGCATTGGTCAGAATTCATCAAAGCTTGACAAGTTGATGTCAAGCCCCATAACCAACTGGTCCTCTGCTAACCAGAAATTTAAGAGCCATGAAGCCAATTGTGAAATTCATAAGACAGCCCTTGTTACGATGCAGCACTTTTTGAATGTTATGAATAATAAGATGAAGCCCATTGATCAAATTAATAACAGTCTGATCGATGAAAATATTCAAAGAAATAAGATGAAATTGTCCTCAATAATAAAAAGTATGATATTGCTAGCTCGACGAAACTTTTCTTTTCGTGCTCACAGAGATGACTCTCAATATTATGACACAGAAGACTGTGGGAACTTTCAAGCACTTTTGGATTTTAGAATTCATAGTGGTGATGAGATACTTAAAGAGCACTTTTCTACTGCACCCCGCAATGCTACTTTACGCTCCAAAACAAAAATGAAATAATTTCTTGTTGTGCCGATCTTATTAACAAAGAAATAATCGATGACATCAAAGCAACAAAATTCTACTCCATCCTTGCAGACGAAGTTACTGATTGCTCCAATAGGGAGCAGATGCCTCTCGTTCTAAGATATGTAGATGGGAAGGGAAATATTCAAGAAAGGTTTATGAAATTTATTCTTTGTGACACTGGTCTTTCTGGGAAAGCACTGTCAGACAAAATTATCCATTGCATTACAGATGTGTTGGGCCTTGAGATAAATAATTGCCGTGGGCAGTGTTACGATGGTGCAGGTAATATGGCAGGAAAATATTCTGGAGTTGCAACACATATTCGCTCTCGTAATAATTTAGCATTATTTACTCATTGCGCATAACATCGGCTTAATCTTTGTGTTGCAGCATCTTGCAAGATTCAAGCTGTATGTGAGGACCTCTCCGAAGACCCCCCTTTTAACCATTATTACAAGAACTGACTTACCCCCAGGAAGAGGACTTTTTAGTTAGTTAGAGAGAGGGACTGTTCGAATCAAGTTAAGGAGTTGTAAAGAGTATTTGGTTTTTTTATAAAGGTTTGCGTTGGAAAACTATGTCGTGTTTTGTGTGTTTATTGCTTGAAGCTAATTGATTTGCACTCAAACCGGGCCACATTTCTGGTGACCACGACGTGACAAGTAACTGTAAGTGCAAACCTTTTCAATTTTTTCTTTCAAAATTCATGTTCTCAAGAAGAAGCCACCCAGAAGAACACAGAAGTTGAAATGATGCAATTATTTGGCAATATCGTATCAAGATTTGTTGTTTTCCCCTTTGATTATTTTCGTGCTTTGTTGGCGAGGCTTGAGTCTGATTTTCTTGTGTCTTTCTCGATCTCTCAGTTGCGTTTGTTTACGTTAGGCCCGTTAAAGTTGTGCCATTGCGGATAGTCGAGACTGTTTTCGTGTATTTTAGTAGTATCAAAATGGCACTAACTGGGGAAGAAATCGATGATTTATTATTGGAATGTCATGGTCTACTGACAGGGATGGGCAAGGAGACACTTCATGAATTTTGCGATAAATTAGGGACAATCTCAGAGTCGACCTATTTGGACAAAAGCCGTTTCGCAACCGTAAAATTGATTTTCGAGGAAATTGAGAAACTAACGGAAAAATGCAAAGAAACAGAAAAGGCAGCATTTCTCAAGGATATTCTGAAACAAATTACTGAGGTAAGGAGCGCAATTGCGAGCAGGGGAGATAAGCAACAGACACTGGCTTCCGTTAGACAGGATTTAGAGAAGGAAGTAACACTGTTAAAGGAAAAACAACAAAAAGAGATGGAAGCGTTGACTGATAAATTGAGTGCTGTCAAAATGGACATACAAATTACAGGGGCTTGCAAGCAATTCTAAAAAGGGAATTCAGAATTGTCGGGACAGTGGGGGCCCAGGGGCAAAAAGAACAGTTGTCCTATTTGAGCCTCAGTAGACAAGTGAAAAGTGGCAAAGAGCGCGGTTATTCCGAAAAGGAATTGGTTGATGGGCTCATAAAATGCATTCTGCCGGGAATACCCCTCAAAGATTATTGAGAGGCGATGCGAGAAATGGGGTTGGAAACTCTAATGAAAATTATTCGCGCCCACTATCAAGAGAAAAATGCTAGTGAACTATATGCTAGCCTCGCAAATTTGGCCCAGTCACCAACGGAAGATCCTCAAAATTTTCTACTTCGTGCCCTAAATTTGCGGGAAAAGATAATTTTTGCATCAAAGCAGGAGGGGAGCAAATTAAAATATGATACAAGTCAGTGTCAGTCCATGTTTCTGCATGCCATCGAGACTGGACTTCTTAGCAATACTCTCAGAACGAGGATGAGACCACACCTATAACGCCCAGATGTTACAGATGCTGAATTGATTCAACAATTAAACCTCGCTGGTGCAGAAGAATCAGAAAGAAATGCCAAATTAGGAATAGGCCAGAAGGGAAAAGCATCATATAGTAATTTACGTGATAGATGACGTAATTACTCCCCGGTCAGTAATGATTACATTTTTAAAATCTGAGTATACCATTCGAAAGAGCATGCAAAACTGAATCAAAAATTATAAAACACTTATATTGTTTGATATATTGTTTCGAAA